AATTACTCGGTACGGTTAGGAAACAAAGCTTGCCAAGAACATTCACCTCATTCTCAATCCCAACAAGTCGTTTCCTTATACCCTAGTGCCTCAAAAAGTTTACTTACCATCTTTTGGGCAAACTTCTTTCTCAGGCGCTTAATCTTCAGCTCTGCGAAATTCCTTCGCTTTTTCTTAAGGGTTTCCGGCACAGCAGGAACCTTCTTCTTCTTCTTCTCTCTAACGTTAACCAACAACAAATATTATCAATAGCTCAAAAAGTTCACAGCGCTGTATTACACCCGAACTGTGCACTGTGTGTTGTTTAACAGAAATCCTTCACTGGCTTTAGCCACTCGTAACTTTACTTGCTCTAGTTTGCTACAGCGTGCGATGCGCATTTTAACTCCATGTCAATAACCTTTAACACCAACCACATTGCTTAAAATGCAGTCCCAAGTATGACAACAGCAATACGCTTTTACCTATTCCAGCCAACAGGTCCGGCCTCCGACGACTAATTAAAAAACAAAAAAACACACCAACAGCCTCATAATAAAATGTACTAGCTGAAAGCCTGCTGCAAGGTACTGATCCCCACACTTTATGCTTAAAAAAAAAAAAACAAACCACCGCCACCTTGGTTCAAGTCTCGGGATCCACATGTTGAAAGCAAACGCCTAGTGGCAGGGAGGCCCGGGCCAACCACCAGCCAAGGACAAACCCAATTCAGAAGTTTTGGGCCTCCCGAAAGGCCCTCTACCGAGGACTGGGCTGTCAGCCAACCGACGGATTCCATACACACTGCACCCCGACATCTTGTTCCCAGAATCTCCAAAACCTTCGTCCTAAGGCCGCCTGCATCCCAACCCTAGCCTCGGATCCCCACTGGTGTCACAGAACGCCACAAACAAACACGGAGGTGGACAAAGGTGCCAGCTACATCCAGAAAGAGAAAAACTGACACAAAAAGTGTCTGGTTCTGAAGATGGAGAAGGATTCTCGGGAGAACAAGAAGCAACTTACTCTACACCCTCCATGGTTCCAACCGGAAAGAGAGGAAGTCAGCGCATGCGCACTGTCCACTTAAAGACTTCGAGAGTGAAGCCCCGCGACTCACAGGTGTCTTAGGATAAGCCCGAAAAGAATCCAGAACTAAAAAGCCGCCTAGCAGACGCCAAATTAAAAACACCCTGATTTAGCCTCTTCCAACCAACTTTCGGGTAAAACTTGTTTGAAGAAAATATATGCATTTGATTAGACTTTTTAATCAACTCAAGAGCAAAGAGTGCTGACACCTTGGCGACTCGGGGTCCTAATCCCCAGGCTGCGCTGACAGGATAAGGCTCGGGTTTCTCCTCACAATGTTCCCAGGACGAGCTTCACGAGGGCGAACTACACATCCCAGCATACACCACTCCTTGCCCGCCCGGCGGCAGGGCAACGCCTGACCGGGACCGCAGGCAAGCACCGCGGCAGCGGTTCCAGCCAGGAAAATGAGAGCCTTTTGGGCCATGTTCCAAACGGCTAGCTGCAATTCGAAGTCACTTTTGGCCGCCCTCCCGGTTCCTTGCCGCGGTAATCGCAGACTACACCCCCTTCGCCGCGCCGCGAGGTCCTTGTCGCTCCAGCCCCGCAGGGCTGTCTTCGCGGCGCCTGATCGCAGGCGGGGCGGTCCGGAGTGCCCTGGTTAACGAAAAGTGGCGAGCCAGGGACCAGCGGGGACCGAACGGCTGGAGGAGGATGGCCGGGGCTCTGCTGACCGCCGAGATGGGCAGGCGGAGGCCGGGACACCCCACGGGAGGGGGCGTGAGCTGCGAAGGGAGGTGCGAGGAGGGCTGAGGTTGCGGCCACGGCCGTGTGAGAAGGGCTACCCCGCTCGGCTCCGCGGACCGCTGGCTGGCGGGGGGCTGGGCCGGGGGCGGGGTGCGCCCGGGGGCGGGGAGGCCGGGCGGAGGGAGGGCCGATGCCGAGGCTGCCGCGGGCTCTTCCCGGTCGTGGGTTATATAGCGCGGAGCGTGGAGCCCGCTCAGAGCCGGCCCGGAGCGCTCCGACTTGCAAGCGGCGCTGAGCTGCGGAGCCAGTTGCCCGAGTGACAGCCGCTGGGAGTGCAGGGCAGGGGGACGCGAGCCCTCGGGGGCAGCTGCAGGGCGTTGGGCAGCGCTCGCCTGCGCCGATCGAGTCTTCCCTTCCCGGCGCTCCGCCGCCTCGCACCCCCACTCTCCCACCCTCTCGCAACTTGGGTCGAGTTGACAACTCCCGCGGCGGCCCGCTGGCCCGTGCCACCTCCGCTACGCACCCCTCCCCCGGGGTGAGAGGGAGCCGGCGCGCGGGCTCCGGGGACTATCGGGCGGCAGCGGCTTGGTCATGAGGGCAGCGCGCGTCGCCTAACTCGCGGCTGTCACTGCCACTGCAGCGGAGCCGGACGGCCGGGCACTGCGGGACAGTCGGGCGGCTGCCGGCAGGAGGCGCCGGGCCGGGTGACTGCCGCGGCGGGCACAGTTCGGGGCCACCGCGCCGAACCCGGGCGGGAGTGGCCCCGCGCACTCCAGCCCGGCGGGCACCTCGGAGGCGGGCGCGGGGCGCAGCCTTCTAGTCCCGGCCTCTGTGACAAGCGCCCAGGGGCCGGGAGCCCGACTGCCGGGCTCGGGGTGGGCGCGGACGCAGGCACTGGGCTCGTGCGGGGCCCCGGGCGTCGCGATGAACATCGTGGTGGAGTTCTTCGTGGTCACTTTCAAAGTGCTCTGGGCGTTCGTGCTGGCCGCAGCGCGCTGGCTGGTGCGGCCCAAGGAGAAGAGCGTGGCGGGCCAGGTGTGCCTCATCACCGGCGCCGGCAGCGGCCTGGGCCGCCTCTTCGCTCTGGAGTTCGCCCGGCGCCGGGCGCTGTTGGTGCTCTGGGACATCAACACGCAGAGCAACGAGGAGACAGCGGGCATGGTGCGCCACATCTACCGCGACCTGGAGGCGGCCGACGCCGCCGCGCTGCAAGGTAACCCGGACCCGCGCGGGAGCATTGTTGGGTCAAGCCTCTCCCCATCCCGCGCCCTACCACGTCAGGCCCCAAACCCCGCTGTCGAGGAAACGAACACCCCACCGGTCTTCTGGGAGATGGGTGGAATTTGCTCCCTGATAAAGGAACGCTATCTCCTCTGTATTAGCAGGGGGAAAGGTGCCCAGTCCTCCCAGAGGTTAGGTCTCTTAGGGGACCATTGGGGGATTTCCTAAGCCCTTTGAGGGTGGGGAAGGCGGAGGGAACTTGTTACCACAGGATTGGATCCCAGAGAAATATCTCGCTCCGACTTAACAAGGCGCGATGGGAAACTAAAGTGTCTCTGGGAAGTTCTGACTCGACTGAAGAAGCGTCTGTGTTACTGTGGACTGAACCCCTTAGACGAGGGCAGTATTGATGGTTTCACTATAACTTTAGCCAGAGGAACAGAATTACATTGTTTCGCCAGCGATAAGTGCTTTAGTTACACTCCCTGAGCGGGATTGAAAAACGCCTTGCTTCCTAAGAGAAAGCGCTTGGAGGACTTAGGCTTCTTTGTAAATTTCTTTCATGTTTTTGGTCACCCCAGGAAATCTGCATTTCTGTATACTTGTTAACTAACCTGAACTCGAGATTTTTTTTTAAGCCAAAGCAAAGCCCATAACCAATCATAAGTATTGGTCCGGAAAATTTGATAATGGCTTTTGCTTTTTAACAAAATTTTTCATTTTAGGGAAGACATTTACCTGTACGGAGAAAATCGACTTGGGCACGACTTCTCCCCTGTATTGATAATTTATCACAAAACTTATTGATACCTGCGTTTTTAATTTAAGGGTGAAAATGTTCCATTTTCACTGGGGATATGGAGGGGTAGCAAATACAGATTTTTGTGCTCCCTGCCAAAACCTAAAAGATGAGGGTATTCATTTTCCAGGATACCGATTTTGGTTTTTAAATTGTCAAGTTCTTATGTGGTAAAATTGTATATTTACCTATAACTTGATTTGTGAGAATACTTCTCAGAGAACTTGGCTACCCCAGTTAGAACAAACCAGTGATGCCTACTTCTTCATTAGAAATTGTGGATTCATTTCGTGGCTTTGGATGCTTTCAGATTACTAATTGCAGTTTTGATTTGTGAGCCTTAAAGTGAGTTTCCATTTTGAGGGTTCTCATAATAAAGAGTAAGAGCTGTTTCTGGCCACTGTTTCCCCCAAAAAGAGGAGTATGTAGTGTGTGTGTGTTCTCTGAACTCTGGGCTGAGATCAGTTCTTTGCAGGTGTCTTTAGCTCCAGCAAGCTGATCCCATGTGGTCTACTTGTATTGGGGTTGTCACAATTACATGACTTTCCCCTCAGCAAAGTTATCCAGTAAATTGCTGTAATTCCCAGAGACTTCATGGGAGGAAAGCAGCTGTAAGCTCAGTCGTTGGCAAGCCTTGCAGCGTTAGAAATTTGAAGCTCACTGTAGTATTTTTGTTTTGTGTGATCTTTGTCCTACTGATCACCATGTGACTCACTTTCTGCACTCCCTTCTCTTTTCCATTTTTTTCCTCCTCATCTGGACTTCTGAGGACAGCTGGGAATGGTGAGGAAGAAATTCTGCCCCACTGTAACTTGCAGGTTTTTACCTACACCTGTGATGTGGGGAAGAGGGAGAATGTCTACCTGACAGCTGAAAGAGTGCGCAAGGAGGTTGGCGAAGTGTCGGTCCTGGTCAATAATGCTGGTGTGGTCTCTGGGCATCACCTTCTGGAATGTCCTGATGAGCTAATTGAGAGAACCATGATGGTCAATTGCCATGCACACTTCTGGGTAAATATAAACATCCTTGTTTTCTTTGCTGGGCCCTCCTCAGTGAGAAAGTTGGGAAGGAGAGAGACTTCAATGTCAGCCTGAAAGCCACCTGTACTCTTTCACCACCAGATCTCCTTAGCTCTTCCCTATGGTGAATTGCAGTGCATCCTGGTTACTATTTAGTTGTTTGTCCCCCCCATGCCCCAACTCAGTAGTTTTGAGAGGGCAGAGGATTGAACATTTTGAACTAGTTTGAAAGATTGCCATAAAAATAACAAGAGGGAGCGTAAAACCCTGGGTTTGTTTATTTTACTTTCTGTTGAGTTTATAAAACATTGGTTGTTCTTATGAATTCCTGAAGTCAGGATTTAGGCTTCCAAATTACTGCTCAGCCACATTTTGGAAAGTGCCAGAGATTCTGAAGTCAGCATTTGTGGTCTGTTGGGAGTCACCAGGCCACCCTGGCAGTCACATCACATCCCCTGACCATCCATCCGCAGGGTCCAGGGTATCTTCCTGTTGGAGGACACCTCAGGACTCTCTCGGGTTAGACAGTGCCTCACAAATATCATCCTGATAGGACTCTAGAGAGGGAAGTGGGGTGATGAAACCTGGTAAGCTGGGGATTTAAACGATGTTCACTTCTAACCATTAAACAACGTCAGCATCTACAGAGGGGAACAGGGCCTTCTGCTGTAGGGGCAAAAGTAACCCCGATTTTTCAGCTCAACTTGTCTTCAGTAAAGGTAGGTGTGACTCTCTCCGGTATAACTGTACACTGCTGACCCACTTTATGCTCTTTTTCCTCGCAGTATTTTCCCTTTACTTTTGTAGACAGGTAAGAGTCAATAAAGAAGGAGTAAAGAAATAGGGTTCTACTTTTTTTTTTTTTCCATAGGCGGATTAGCCTTCTAATAGAACACAGCAAAGAACCGTTTCTCCTAAATAGGTCACATTAAACCTCATTAATTTTTTAGCAACTGCTTAAAAACTTAATCTGGCTTTAGAAGTACTTATTCAAATGTTGTTCCTCAAACATCAAACTTTTTCTCTGCTCTTGGAGGAAGCTTATTTTAATGTTATATTTCTAAACATGAACTTTACTGTATTTTATTATTTATTTATTTATTTATTTGAGATGAAGTTTGGCTCTTGTTGCCCAGGCTGGAGTGCAATGGCATGATCTCAGCTCACTGCAACTTCTACCTCAGTATCTGGGATTGTGCAGGCATGTGCCACCACGCCTGGCTAATTTTGTATTTTTAGTAGAGACAGGGTTTCACCATGTCAGGCTGGTCTGGAACTCCTGACCTCAGGTGATTTGCCAACCTCGGCTTCCCAAAGTGCTGGGATTACAGGCATGAGCCATTGTACTCGGCCAACATGAACTTTATTTAATTCATTTCCAAACCGCTAGAAATGAATATACAAATGACCTGACCTAACTTATCTATGTTTTAAACAAGCAAGGAGATCATCAAATACGGTTTGGGGAACTTAAGCTTGCCTGTAGGTGTGTGTTGTGTTCAGTGGCGGTGGGGAACTGAATTGAAGACCTTCGTGTTGCTGGGTTCCCAGGAACAGGCAGCAGGTGTCAAAGGGGTGGGTTAGATGAGTAAAAGGCAGTTCAACCAAATAAGCTTGGAATAGAATTTATCAATTCTATGTATGTTTGTGATTAATCCTGAGTAAAACAACTACCATTTGAAATGAAATACATACATAAGTGGGAGGCAGAGTGTCATTTTCATATTTGAAGAATGGTAAGGATGAAGCTGCCGTAAAAACTGCAGTTGATTTAAGTCAGCCTTAAACAGTTACAGCACTATTGATAGGTTCATTATGAACCAGACACTGACTGGGATTGCTTTCTCCAGTAACCTTTGACTAAGATGATGCAAGATTACCAAACTGTAAACTTTTACTTATAGCCAGTATTCTGAAGTTTAGCCATCTTGCCTACTTTCTCTGCATGATTATTTTGCTGAATCATAAAATTTCAAATGTAATCAGGTTTTTTAAGAAACCCCGTACAATCTGCTGTTAAATACTTAAAACAAGAAAGCAGATCCAGGAAGACACTGGATAAAATGAGTGCTAACTTATTGTCTTTTTAATATTAGGCTAATTTTTAACATAAGGAGGAAATCAAATCAAATCTCTAAATAGAAAAATTATTCTGGACCTGAATCTGTATACCAAGGAGCACCTTCCTAGAGTCATCACTGTGCTTTGAGATGTTGCTTAACCACACAATTTAGGGAGTTCTTGGAAGCCCTGACGGTAATGACGTCGCTTTGTATTAAAATATGGGAGGCTCCTGAATTCTCCAGCTGTTTTTCCTCTAAGCATCTAAACTTAAGAATTTATTTTCAATATTGAGTCAGAAAATTCATTATAGAGTTGGAATTTGACTTCTTGCTGAAATTTACAAATCTTTTTGAGAAATTCTGATTCAGCAACCAAAATTTAAAAGAAAACTCAGTACGTGTGTGTGTGTGTGTATATATATGTGTATATATATATATATATTTTTTTTTTTTGAGTTGGAGTCTTGCTCTGTAGCCCAGGCTGGAGTGCAGTGGTGCGATCTCGGCTCACTGCAACCTCCACCTTCTGGGTTCAAGCAATTCTCCTGCCTCAGCCTCCCAGATAGCTGGGACTACAGGCACACGCCACCATGCCCAGCTAATTTTTTTTTTGCATTTTTAGTAGAGAAGGGGTTTCACCATGTTGGCCAGGATAGTCTCAATCTCTTTACCTCGTGATCCGCCTGCCTCAGCCTCCCAAACTGCTGGGATTACAGGCTTGAGCCACCACGCCCGGCCAATGCAGTATAATTTTTACAGTGAATTTTTTAACAGGGTTTAAGGAACGTTATAAGAGCCACCTGAATTCAGCTTCCCTTCCAGTAGTCCTCTTAGGCAAAATGTTGGTAGCAACTTTTCAAAGATGTGTTGATATTGGCACATGCTATTTTCTTTCCAGAAAAAATAATGAGTGTGTCTTTTTACTGTATCTGGGTGTGGAAAAGAAGTTACCCCATGCATTTTTAAAAGTCCATCTGCTGAGCAAAGAACTGTTCGGTCATTTGAACAGATCATCCTGAGCCAGACGTTTAAGTAACGGTTAATATCTGTTTTCATAAATAACAAATAGTATATTCATCCTGACTCAGAGCAAAAGTGAGTGAAATAGAAAACCATGTGGACTTTCACTGAAAAGCTGTGGGCACTCCCAAACCAGTCTGCATACTATTCCCCCTACCTGAAACACCCTCTTCCTCCATTCCGCATGTCTTTTAAGGCTCAGCTGAAGTTCTCAATATAACCTTTCCTCCCCGTTGCAGCATTTCTGGCCTTTTTGGATGTTAGAGTTTGCAAGAATCCAGAGACCTTTTTATTTTCCAGTGAAGCAGGGGTTAAATGACTTGTCTAAGGTTTTTCTTTTCTTTCCATTAATCTGTCACAGGATTTGTTGTCATTCTCCCAAAGTACATGGCAAGCTGTCTGAAGGCAGTTTGTTGTATACATCTTTTGTTTTCCTCTACCTGGAACAAAACTCTATTCTTAAGTCACTTAATAAATATTTGATAATAATAGGCTTAAATGTTTAGAAGATAACCTATTCAGATAATACTCACATGGGTCTATGTTCTGAGGTTTTAAAGGTAAGCATTATGGGCTGGGCGTGGTGGCTCATGCCTGTAATCCCAGAACTTTGGGAGGCCAAGGCAGGTGGATCACTTGATGTCAAGAATTTGAGACCAGCCTGGCCAACATGGAGAAACCCTATCTCTACTAAATACAAAAAAATTAGCTGGATATGATACTGTGAGCCTGTAGTACCAGCTACTCAGGAGGCTGAGGCAGAGGTTGCAGTGATCAGACATGGCACCACTGCACTCCAGCCTAGGTGACAGAGTGAGACTCCATCTCAAAAAAAAAAAAAGGAAAACGGTGAGCAATATGTTGGACTAAAGCTGTGTAAGACCATTATTGCAAAACAGGGCTGTCTTATATTTTCTTTTGCTTTCCTGCATAATTTTTCATTCTCCCTGTCCCACATGTGTTCTCATTTTTACTATAGTGTATTAGAACTCTGCTCATTGGTGTGAGGCTAGTGACTTTGAGAAGGGTGGTGTTGGTATGCCAATTTGAATCAAGCTCACATTGAATATGTAACAGCCATTTATATTTACCAATGATCAGCCCTCAAAAAGAGAACCCCCATAGCAATTCTTTCCTTTCTTCTTAGCCATGTACCATTTCTGTATCCTTTGGAAGCCTTTCCTTGGCCTGGCATAATTCTACACAACCTTCCAGTTTGTTGTGACACTTCACCTTCCAGTGTTGTTCCATCACCAGTAGCTCTCCTAGGAAGCTTCTCCTGGTCAACAGTCAAGAAGTGATAGATTTGGGGTAGGTTCTAGTCAGCACAATCTACTGTGAAACACTCGGTACAAGGCCATGGAAAATGAATGCACTATCATGCACTTTAACACTAGCATAGAAATTATTCATGTGGGCTTGCTGTATCTGGGTGAGATGTAAAAACTTGAAAGTTACCTCTCTTGGGCAGGGCATAGTGGCTCAAGCCTGTAATCCCAACACTTTGGGAGGCCTAGGAGAGTGGATCACTTTTATCCAGGAGTTCAAGACCAACGTCGGCAACATAGCTAAACCCTGTCTCTACCAAAATATAAAAATTAGCTGGGTGTGGTAGCAGCATGTGCCTGTAGTCCCTGCTCCTGAGGAGGCTGAGGTGGGAGGATGGCTTGAGCCCAAGCGATGCAGACTGCAGTGAGATCACAACACTGCACTCCAGCTTGGGTGACAAGAGCCAGACCCTATCTCAAAAGGAAAAGAAAAATACTTCTCTGTATTCTACTTTGAAATATGGAATGCTGGTCTCCATGCAAACCCATGTTTCTCTCAAAATATTAACATTGCTTTATGTGTTATTTTTTAAGAAGAGTAGAATCTTAGCTCACTATTTCTAAAAGCCAAAGTTTATATGTAGATCCTTTTTCGACCAAAGAGCTGCATTTGGCCTTTATACGTGAGCAGCAAATTGATTCCTGCTTAACCAAAAGGGGGAAGCAAAAGCATTTAACTCCAGGCCTTTTATGTTCTGAAGAATTTTTGCATGGTAAAGGACTAAATCTGTCAAATAGCTAGTAGGTAATTTACTTCTATTGATATGGTAGTCAGACAAGATAATTGGTAGTTAATTAATAGACCACTTAACTTAAAAGGTTTCACAGTTTTAAAATACTAATTACTGAATTAAGCATTTATCTATATCCAAATGTCTAAAGTCTATTTAGTTAAAATCTATCCAGGAAAAGTAAAAGCCCACCAGCTAGATCTGAGTAATGTAGCACTTAAAGACATTAGTGCTATGGTTGTACCTAATATCTCATGAATGGTCCCTAATCATTAATGTTTAGGTTGTTATGTGATTTACTGGTTTTTAATCGCACATTCTGCATTCTTCTGTTCTCTGGTTAGAGAAACCTAGTTTGTTCAAGGCTTCTTAGATTTAGAATTTTAAAAATCATTTCTAAAGTACTCATAAAAATATTTGGACAGTATTTCTTCCTCCTGACCATAATAACTGTAAGACAATAAAGAGTATTGATTCCCTATCTTAAGATAGCCACTAAAACACTTGGAATTCACGGCCTATTTTTAAACATCTCCGCTAGAACTGGTTTCTATTATTAAATATATGTCATAAGTATTAAAATGTTTGAACTTTAGAAGTACTTTCAATGTCTTAAACAGAGTTGTAATTTGACATGGGGTAAGCATACTTCATCTTATTCTTGTAGTCACAGTTGCAAACTGAGTAAAACATCTCTTGTGATAGCAGCGGCTTGATACCTGGGACTGTATACCTATATGAAAAATAGGATCACATGCTCATTGAACTCTGAGTTTCTGTATTTGATGTATTACATGCTGGGCCCAAATCTATTGCTACTAGAAATCAAAATCTATGACATAATAAAATATCACTTAAAGCAGCTGTTATGAATAGGGAACCAGATGCTATATCAGATAAAAAGTTCCCCAACATCTTTGATATGTTCTAATCTGTGTCTGTTTATCTTAGTTGTTTAAAAAATACTGCTTAATAACCAATGTTGTAATTTCTAACCTGAATGAAAAAAAAATAGCAATGCTCCCCTTGTTGCCAAATCCTGTGTGTAGCTTTGTCTTTCTACAGAATGTGACCCTCTTGACCGTCTCTTTGAAACTCAAGTGCTTTAGCTTCCATGATAAGCCCACTTTGTCCTGCTTCTCTGTCTGCCTTCCGAATCCTTTAAGACTCCCCACCTCTGAATTGTAATGACTGTTTAGTATTGTATGCTCAGACCTGTTTTCACTCAGAACCTCCATGTTGCTGGGTGATCTATTTCAGTGGCTTCAACTGTGATTTTTAGGATAGTTCTCAAGTTCATAGGACTACCTTGACTGCTCCACACATACTCTTAAAGCAGCATGTCACAAAACTGAACAAACTCCTCTTTCTTTGCTCCTTTTTCTGGTCACCAGGCTTAGAAACATCAGCATTATGTTCACCTGTCCAGCCTGCACACATTCATGGGTCCCCAAATCCCAACTATTCTCTTGCCCCCCTGTGTTCCAATATATCCCTCCTTTTCTTTCCTATTTCCTCCTGTGGGCCTCCATCACCTCTTGCCTGGACTCTTAAAAATGCCTGTGATCTTCTTTACCTGTGTTCATTTTTGCTTTCCAACCTAGGGTCATCTAAGCAGCCTTGAGTTTGTTATCTGCTTGCTTAAAACCCTTGTTTGACCATATTGTTCACAGCGTGAAGTCCAGGCTCATTAGCATGGCATCCCGGGCCTTCCAAAGCTGATTTCCACCTGCTTTTCCAGGTCAGAACCTATTTTATCCCCTCATCTACTGTAACTTCAGACGGGCTGGACTCCTCACTGTGCCTGGGGAGAGCCTTGCACGTTACGCTTCACACAAGAGCCTCTGCTTAGCTGTTCTGCTATTTGAGTCTTGTTTTACTTGAAGACAGCAGAAGTTGAATAGTTCAGAAAAAATCTCTCACTACTCCTGAGAAAGAAAAGCACAAATTCAAAATATTTTCATGTTCACTTAATAATATCTTTATATATTAAGGTGGCAGTCCCTGTAAAATAGCCATGAAATTCTTGGCTCAGGGAATGGCCCTTTCTTGTTTGATCATGTAGTGAGTTGTGCCATTTATCTCAATTCCTGGAAGGAAGCAAAGTCGGTATTTGTTCTTTTCTGCCTCATTATCTCTACATACCAGGCTTTATCCATTATCTGCCCAAATAGAAATTAATCTATAGGATATGTCAAAGTGGAAGCATTGTGTAACCCATGCTAATGCTAACACTAACTGAATAGCTTTCTCAAAAAGACTGAATGCAGAGTGCCCCGGCGGAGTCCTTAGCCATTCATTGCAGGATTGGGTCACTACGAACCCTATGGTTAATACTTAACTGCTCACACTCTGTTTATTCTCTTCTCTTACATTTGTTTTTACTCTGAACATGCTTCAGATTTTCAAGATCTTTGGCAAATTCTAGTGAATCGGTTTTAGTAACTTGAATATATCTAAGCCATGACATTAGAAAATTTAATAGCCTCACTTGAGAGTTAGAAGAATTTTAAGTAGGAAACTCCTTTACATTTAAGTTTTTTCTTGAGTTGAGAAATATTAATAGCAAATTTATCTAAAATTTCTGCTTTAATTCTTTCAGAAACTAAAATTAAGCCTGTTTCAATTATGATAAGTAGTCTATTTGCATGTGTCTAACCCAGAGATCTACCTATGTGGATAAATGTGCAGATGACATGGTATGTTTGTTTGCTTGTTTTTGTATGCTCACTAATAAGTAGAAGACGTGACTATGGTGCAGCTACAGTCACTGGACCTGAGAAAGTCCGAAATATCCAGGATGTTTTTGGACCCCCAAACTTGTACTATGCTGAAGTTCCACTAGGGGGTGTACTGGCAGGGTGGATTTGTATCTTATTTCCTGCACATAGAACCAGTGTTTTCTGGAGAGAAAGGGCCTTTTGTAACTAATCTTTGGAGTATGACAAAATCTAATAGTCCTTAAGAAATAGAGAACTATTTCCTGCCTCAGCTGAATGGGTTAAGTCCAATGTTTTGAGCCTGTAACTCCAGAGATCAGATTAAAATGTGTTAATCTTTCTTATCAGAAGCTAGTATGGTAGTTAGCTATTCAAAGAACTAACATGTCTAGATTCTACCACTGACCTAGAAGCTCCTTTAGGCTGAGACCCCATATAGACATAATTGGAAAATAACGCAGAATTCTGGTTCTTTCTAAAACTTACAGCCGGTCCCCATAATAGGTGGCCTTTGGAAACTTCTTTGTATCATGAATTATCAGTCTGGGAAGATACCATTGTTCAGAACCTAGGCTGGCAGAGCATGGCCTCGGGATTCAGTCACATTTGCCTTGACATTACCTGGCTGGCCAGTTTCAGCCACCTGCATCCCTGGGTTTACACAGGTCTATGCCATCGCACACTGAAGGGGATTCGAGGGGACGGACACCTTTTCATCTGGTCTGAAGGAATGCTAACGTTTTTTATTTTAAGAGCTTCCCCAGTGTATTTCATTCTTGAATTTTTTTCTTCTTTTTTACTTTATTTGTCAATTCTCTTAAAATTCAAGTTCACACCTGTCAAGGACCATTTTCCTAAATGTTCTGAAACTAAAATGAAGTGAGCCACGGGAGAAAAAATGAATATCCTCTTATAATCATTATAAAACTTTCAGCACTGCAGCAAATGCTGCTAGAATATTTAACAAGTAAGGGCAATTACTGCTGCAACCTTGAGTGCTGTCAAATTAGCCCCTTACAATGACAAGCCACTTACAATGAATTCACATTTGGAAACAAAACATTACTTGGTCTGTGAAACTTTCAAAGATCACACAAAGATGTGTGAAAAGTAGCAGTGGTGTTAACATTGTATTTTTTGGTTTGGAGAAAAACCACAAGTGTTTCTTATATGCTGCTTGCATAAAATGTGAATTTCTTGCCTTTCCTTCAAATACCTTAGTACTGGAATTTTTGAATATTAACATGGTTCAGCCTCTTTGTGTTATCCTAAACAATAGGGCTCAAAATAACATAACTGTAACTTATGTAAACACATGAGTATTTTGAGGACAAGTGAAACTTAAAATTCAAAGCCTGAATTTTCCCACCTGCAAGTTGTAATTAACATACTGCCCCCTACTGATTTCTTAAGGGTTTTTTTTACATGGGCTAGTTCTACAGTCCCTTGGGAAAAAGAAGCATAAGGTATAACAAATTATTATTTTTGTAACAAATTATT